TCCTGAAAACTGCAACTAAGGGTAGAAATCTTAAACAAAGACGTGGACTCAGTTAGTTGAGCTCACGAGTTTATTTTTGTTGCTCTCTCGTTACTTTTCACGAGAAAAATAATACGGTTATTTTCAAAGCACAAAAAAGTTACTTAGGAACAATTATTTCTGTTGTACTGAATTTCCCTTGATCATTGGTAAGTAATTAATGTATTTATATATTATTTATCCTCCTACTGTAATTTGGATGGGTACAATGAACCTAGATATATCGATCCCCATTTTGGGATCATGGCTGATACTGACTAAAATTGTAAAAAAAAAAACTATTTTTCTTTTTCTTTCTTTTTTTCCAGGAAATGTCGCGTAAAAGATATCTTTCTTTAAAAGAAATAGAAGAAATTGTAAATTCTGATGATTTTTTTGCATCTGACGATAACGACGATTAATAGCCCCATAGATATTGTTGAAATTCCACCAGAGCGGGTTGATGAGATTTCAGATAATGAGGACATGGATGACAACGTAATTGATGATGAAGAACCACTTGATGTTCCCGGGTGTGTTGAAATTCACCGCGTGGCAGGATTTGAGGAAAATGTTTTAGTGAATGCAACTGAATCTTCAGCAAATGAAGTAACAAAAGGTACCACCGGCTTACCACCTGCTAAAAAGAGAAAAGAAGTACTGACTTCCAATTGGAAAAAGAAGAAACCTAATTACTCTAAACTATATGAAAATTCTGACGTTATAGAGACAAGGCGAAATGATGTCATTAGAAAACTCAGGGGAAAATCCTCGGTAGAGTTTTTTGAAATACTTTTTGATAATGAAACTGTAACCTATATTGCCCAGCAGTCTGTAATATACGCCAGACAGAAAAACTTCCGCAAGAACATACTTCCGCATATTTGTGTGAAGATGAAGACATGAAATTGTAAGAGTGAGAATTTAGTGTGGCCAGAAGATTTTTTTTTAAATTAAATTTTGAAATACTGTGTTTGTTTTTAAAAGTTGTACTGTTTAATATTATATATAGAGAGAGAGAAAGAGAGAGGGTTAAGCTGTTGTTTGTGGGAGAATGTTGGATTTCAGACGTGAAGTTTATAATTTATGAATGTTTTCATTTAATTTTAGTTAATTTTTTTTAAGTTTTGTTTCGTGTATGTGGCAGTCGAAAGATGGGGAATATTTAAAGTTTTGAAAGAAAATTGTGTGTTGAATTCCACGTCGATAGTAACGCATAATTTGCTATTCTGTTTACGTTTAAAACTCACTTCGCAGTGCTCTGATCTGATAAGTGTATATATTTATTTACTCATTAATTATTTACAAGAATTGTTCATTCTACTATTTTATGATCAGTTACATATATCGGACTATGTTTTTACTTGCAAAGCTGTTGGACTTTGTTTTTATTCATCTAGTATTTTATCATTTCATTTTATTATTCTGTTTACATAAAATAACGGCGTTTCACTATTGCAAAACTTAAAAGTTACTATTCTGTTTATGTTTAAAAATCACATCTTAGTACTTTCAATGCCGCCTAAAAAAATCGTAAATTTTGAAAGGCAAAACAGTTTGGCGCCAACTTACCCCACTTTTGAAATATTAACCGTTATTACTATACTGTATCTACATTGCTACTATACCACTGCTGTTATACAATTTCAGCTTGAACACAAAATTTTAGTTTGTTTAAAATAATGTTAAAAACATTTTCTTTTGTAATTTCATCTTAAAAATCACCAGAATTCAAAGTGTCATATTTCATATAAAAAAGAGAATGATCATGTCTTTTTAATAATAATACATGATTCCTCATCTTGAAATAAATTATATGTTTTTCGAGGAACATTATTACCAAGCATGTACATTTTAATTTTTCTTATAGAAAGGGGAAAAGTATATTCAACTATTGTTTGGTGCATCACTTGATTTTGAACTTCAAATAAAGCACTAAAAATGGAAAGGGAAAACAATAATTTACATGGCATGGGAGTCACAGGAATGAAGAGTATGTCCTATCCGAAACACTATCTGGTCATTAGATATCATTATCAATTCTATCCTTTCAAGCGACCCACGTTTAAAGAGAAATCTAGACTAGAATTTGTGTCCAGCCTGAGATATCACACGTCTTTCTTTCCGTATTCCAAAATACTATTTAAGAAGTGCTATAGAAAGACAGAAATGGCTCTAGGAGTAACTGTTTTAGCTTCGAAAAGAAATATTGATAAACAAGTCAGGGAAGAAAATAACGTCTAACTAAAGCTATGAGTCTTATAAATGAAATATTTTACTGCTAACGTATCTAGCTATGCAGGCTACAAATTAATTAATTAAGATAAAACCCGTGAGGACTATTTGGAAGATGTTGAAATGTTCTTTCAGAAATATTGAGTTCAGTGTTTAATGGAGATCTTTTGCCTGATTATAAAACTGTTGAGAATATGGACAAATGAAAACGGGCCGTCGCATGCTTAGATGAGCAGGCCATTGAATATTAATCATAGTATTATTAACAGACCTTGTAATCAGAGTCGTAGCTAGGGTTTTCAGCGCCTAGGGACAACTGAAGATTTCGCGCCCCCTACTGCTTGCCAAGGATGGAAAACATTTAATTCTAAAATGTCGTATCATCAGTTTGGGGCCCTTGGATTCTACGCCCGGGGACAGATGCCCCCCTCTAGCTACGCCCCTGCTTGTAATCAGTTCTTAGTTGTTCAGTTAGTTGTTCAGTTCGAAATAAATTTTTTGTGGATTTCACATACCATGAAATATTCAGAATGGTTGAGAGAACTTTATTTTGGATTCTATATAATTTAACAGGAAAAACGTTTATGGCTGTTGCCATAAAAGCTTACCCTATGAAATTAGATAGGATTGATCACCCGGACACATAGTTTTATTAGTAAATTTGAATCTGCTTTTATAACGTCAGACAGGAGTTGTATTTATGCCGATGATCGGATACCGAAGGATCGGCATTTCAAGATTTCTCTTCAAGATTTCAGCTTTTCATATCAAAGCTGTGACATTCTACACGGTTGCTACTGATCTTTCCTTTTTTCGTTGCGTAGATTTCAAGCTTTATCTTCAAGTGTTTGGTGTAGTAGTGCTTTATTTCATACCAAATCAGTGACGTTCTACATGTTTGTCATTAATCCTACCTTTTTACTTTGCATCGTTTTCAACATCAGCAGCTAATTTTCCAAAATTTATTCTAGAAACATTGCAGTTGGTCAAAAATGACAGAGCACAATAATTTTACTATACATAGACATATTTTCCCAACTTTATTTTCTGCGCAAAAATATGTTGTGTCCCTGAAATCTTTACTATACACTCTGCTGATTTGATACTATATCTCTATTTAAATTAGATAACTTTTTTTTTTCAGTTCTTTGACACTGCACATAACTTACACATAAAATCTGAAGTATCTCAAAAATTAAAATATTTTCAGTTGATTAGCAGTGGTGACTTTGTGAAGCGAAAGTTGACACTTTGAGATAAATCGTATGCTTGCAATTTTTCACATTTTTTGAGTGGTTTTATTTAAATTTTAAATTAATTACGTCGCCGTTCACAAAGGGACGTATGTGCCTCATTAATTTGGCTTTATTTATAACGATGCCTCCGTTGATTATATATCTAAAAGCAATGAATGAACTGAAATGGTAACGTAAAAATTTTTCCGATGCTACGTAGCAAAGCGTAGCGTTCTATTTCTTAATTACTATTGCCTCAAAGAACTTTTTATGAAAAGATTAAAACTCTTATTTTCGGGGCTAATATTCAAAATAGTGAATAAAATTCCGATTCTAAGAGCTTCTTATCTTTTATATAGGTTATGCTATCTTTTTTCAGAAGAGGCAGATTCTGAGTTTATTAGCGACTGTAGCGAAATATTCTTCTTCTAATAGCAAAGTTACTAAACAAAAAATAGCGCTGAGATGAGCGGCACAATAGGCTTAGTGTTATTGAAAACGATCTGCGAACTATTTATGCAAATGCTGACAATCTGTTCTCTTATAGTATAAAAGTGGATTTTTCGGAAATGGTGTATAATAATAATAATAATAATAAATGCTAATTGTTTTGTACATCGTGCTTCAGTGTGCTACAAAAGATTAAAAAAAATATAGAACTAAGGTTTTTGAATCTAAAAAGTAAGTTAGAAAAGTCTCTGGATCTAATGTTCTTGTTCTCCAAAGAGATCGATGGATTAAATTGCTACGGATTGGAAAATTTGGTATCATCAAGGATGTGTGTGTATTCCAAGCATTTCATTTCTGATGATTAAAACTGGCTACGTCCGAATAACTCATATTTTGCTAATTATTTTAATATCCCAATTTTCTATTTAGTAATTTATAAACGCTCTCATTAAGAAGGTTATAACTTCCGTCTTTGGAAAGTATGTGAGATATTAATATCAGTTTTATATCATATTGCGTTATTGACTCAAAGAATCATACTGCGTTACATTAGTAAATTTATGCAAGTTTCAAAAAAGCTACATGAAGAGCGTTTTGTAAGTATTCTGTTGACATTAGCAGGTAGAATACTTAGTTAGGATCAGTGAAAATTACAGATGTGTTCCAAATTAAAATAATATATAAGCATTATAATATGCATCATTAAAACATTTCAAAGAGATCTTTAGTATTGTGAAATAATGCTCTATCGTATGAAATATTATATTCGAGATTTGTGTAGAAAATCAATGCCTGAAATATATAAGAAGTATAGTATTTTAAAAATTTAAACAGTATTTTTTCAAGTTCTTTTAAATCTGTAGCCTTTTTCTCATTATCATTCTTAGGCAAGAGTATAGTAATTAGCACTGTACTAACAACTCTCAGCGGAGTTCTTTTTGGCATCCCAGAATTTGAAGCGCTACCTATCGCCTTTTGCAGTTGCTGCTAATAGTGAGGTAACACCCCCCCCGGATAAAGTTTGGAACAGTTATTTCCCACAAACAAAATTTAATGTGGCAACATTTATTATAAGTGTTGTGTTTTGCCGCGTGTACTAGTCGTGTCATAAGTATTAGAGCATTTAAATATGTTTTTCGTGTAAAGTGTCATATTTTATGTAGTGTAACTTTCGCTGATTTATTTTTAAATTTTGATATCATACTAACATAATTATGACTACAGGTATGTGTGATTTTTAAATAACATTATAAATTCCTTTGAATGTTGACAGTTCTTTTTTGCTTGCATTAAAAATTTCAATTCCCTACATATATTTCTGATCGCCTAGAATACAGCATCATGTTTTGCCAAATGCATGAACTTTTTTTAACTTAAAAAATGTTTCTGTTTCTTTAGGCAACGTTATCCAAGATGTTGATACCGGCCACTCCGATATGATCGTAAGTAACCATCGCTAAGTTAAACGTATAATATTTGTAATTAAAATATCGGAAGACTATTAATTCTTGGAAACATGTTTTGATGAATTATTATTTATTATTGCATTTTAAGGAAAAGTTAGAAATGAAACTTTCTTAACAAGCTTTTTTAATTTGTCACTCATCCCATGAAGAAATTTGCCGATTTTCATAAGTAATATGCACTTTAATTAAATAATAAATAAGATGGTATCTGTTTTCTTTCATTTGCTTAAATAAAAATTTATAACTACAATATTTGCTGGATTTTGCTTATTAATGTGTAAAGTTTCAAGATAACCTTAAACTGAAATCGTTTTTAATGGTATTGTCAGATTTACTAGATTATGAACATAAGGCTATGGGTGAACTAATTTATTTCTAACAGGGATTTGTTTTTTCTCTTGACATTTCTTAAATTTTTATTGATAATAAAGGAGGATACTTTTCTGGTATTCATATGCCATGCATTTTGTAAGTGCATAACTGAAAAAGTATTTAAAGGAGTTTCATCACATTTGTAAAATCTCCAAATTACCGAATGTGAGAGTAATTAGGATAAAAGTGTTTAAGCTATCTTTGAAATCAGTTTATGGTATCTCCAATTTCGAAATTCCAAAATTTTGAATTAAGTGAGTAAGCAGCCTTTAAAGAATAATATTAAAGTGGAAATAGAAAAAACTTAATTTTTAACCAAAATTTCTTTTAACAATGTTTGTTTTGTTAAACCAAACAAGTACGTACTTTAAGGTAATTTAAGGTTTTTTATTTTTATATAATTACACATTCAAATTTTTTTTTGTTTTTTTTAATTTTAAAGTATATTTTTGTTCCTCATCCAAGGTTTCATAACTGTATTTTAGAATTATGTTAGTAGATTTCTGACTTTAAAGCTTTCCTAAAAATTTTGACATTTTTTAGTTGATTGACAGTTGGAGCATTGTCATTATAGTGGAAGATTTCAGTTAGAATTTCTTCACAAGCCAGTAGGTTTTTTTTTTTTTTTTTTTTTTTTAGCATTGCATATGAAAAATGTACTTTTACATTTTTTACAGTCTATCACTTGAGCACAGATCACATAAAAGTACATATTTAGTAAATTTGTGCTGGACACTGGGTATCCCATAAATGCGATGGGCAATGTAAATACGTACAGTATTTGTGTGTATTAGTTTATTATGGTTTTAATGAATGACCAAACTCTTGCAAAATACATGAAAAAATGCCCACTACATGTGTAAGTATGCAGCAAAATGTAAGTGTGTTAAGAAAAGAAAGAAAAAAAGGATTATTTGTTCCTCCAGTTCAGCTAATAGTCATTTTAAAATACTTTAGCACATAATTTTTGGTTGTATTTTAAAGGTTAAGCATTTTCATCAACTGAAAGAAAAAAATTAAAAAAAAATAAATAAATTCGTCTAAAAGAAAAAATGGGTTAAATCCCTTTAATTAAAAAATTTTCTAAAGTTCTAAACTGAAAGTTTCTTAAAAAATCTTGAAATTATCTTTCATTTTTTATAAATTCTTTTGTATTATTGTTTTAAAATGGATGCTCAGATGGACTACTATGGAATACGTCTTGCAACTTGTTCTTCTGATAAAACGGTGAAAATATTTGATGTGAGAAGTGGCTCTCAGAAGATTGTTGCTACTTTAAAAGAGTAAGTATTTTTTAATGTAAATCTCTCTTTATTTGATTTCAGTTTATTAGTATCAGAGATTTTAATATGGTGAATTAAAGAAAATATTTTAATTTGTAGTTCTTACATATTTGACATTTTTTTAAGGTTTTATAAAGTTGACAGATGGACAGAGGTGACAATAATTTTTCTTCGAGCCCTTGTTGTCATAGCAGTTTATTTACAAAATTTTCAAGTTTTGTTTTAAAGTTGCTTTAACTAAAACCATAATTCATAATAGGTTATTATCCTAGATTAGTTTACAAAATTTTCAAAGCTTTCATTTATTTAGAGCTTTACTCTTAAAATAAATACTAATAATCTGAAAGGTTTCAGATTTTAAATTACGTCCAAAGGGGCTTTTTTAACGTCTTATGTGTTACTTTTATTTGAACTACTCTTATATACGCCCTCGCTTGGCGACAAATTTCTTGCCAAATATTTTTGGTGAGAAACTCCACAGTGCCATTTACTGTCACTTGGCGACAAATTTCTTGCCAAATATTTTTGGCGAGAAACTCCACAGTGCCATATTACTGTCTAAATGTTTTGTGTACTTTCAAACTTTAAGCCTAAAATGTCTCCAAACATGCAGTTTTCACACATGCAAAAACCACGTTTTGAACATACAATTTAAGCTAAAAATCCGAAACAAAAACAAAAAATTTAGATAGCAAAAACGTAAAGTTTCTAACCAAAAATATTAAATCTTCAGAATCAGTGCTAGCATTTGTAACAGTTTTCCTTTTAATAATATTACAATTATTCTTATTACTAGCTTCCTATTATTCTTGTAATTCCTATTATACCTATTTATTCCTATTACTAGGTAAAATAAACTTAACTTTGAGCTCATTGGCTAACTTCTGCTCATTAGTGAGATGTTGGGCCAGTTGATTGATAAATGAAATGTCGGTTGTGACTTACGATTGACATCCAAGCAGATCAAGAGATCCTTTGAGGTGATTAGCTTGTATATCTAGCTCCTCTATTTTCTCCCATAAATAGAGTTGTTCATCTAAGTCTTTATTTTAAGACCCAGATATACTAAAGTCTCAGATAAATAAAGAACTAAAGACTCGGATGGAGTGGCAGATGGTATGATTCTTTGCCTTCCGTCAACCTTACAAAGGGTGAGACAGACTGTATACGATCATGGACTTATGCTTTCATAATTGCAGGATTTGCCCTTAGTTGTAAAAACATCGGAACTGTCAAATATAACACCGAGTGCCTTCACATTCAAGACCATGGTGCCAAATGTTTAAAGCTGCATGCAGGTTTGAGGATTTTTTTTTTTTTATTATGCAGAGCAGTCAAGCTTTCTTGATATAACCACTAGAAAAAAAAAGTTAAAAAATCACTAATTGTAAAAAAGCTGCCATGCAATAATTGCAAGCAGAGAATAAATTGAGCTGTTTTTGTTAGTCAGACCTCTCAGATTATAAGAAGGCAGAAATTCAGAAGCGATTAGTCGATTTGCCAAGCACAAATTGCTCACTATGTAAAAACTACCAGGCAAATAATACATGGAAATAACAAAAACATTTGGGATAAAAGTAAAAGAATGCAAAATTACACTTGCATACTATTTCTCATTTACGTTTATTTCTTGTATGTAGTTCTTACTGCTAATATGGCTTCAAAAGGGTTTTCATTTCTTTTCTACTCTGTACCACCTAAATTTTATTAGGTATTACTGAAGGTCACATTGAGCCATATGTAATAGTCTGTCAAAAAAAAAAAAAAAAAAAAAAAAAGAGAACCGGCAGTTTCCTTTGTAACAGAATATACAGAAATGATTGAGACTATGTATATTAACAATGAAATCATTTGAAGATGGACTGTTACTAGAAAAAAAGAAGGCATTCGTGATAGATGTGGTTTTTGGTTACCTGCAACAACTTCTAAAAACATCATTTTATTTACTTTTGTGCAGAAGAATCCTGTTCATTAAATGCCGAAAGAATCAGTCGGAATGTGCAGAACAGTTGCTGATTGGAATAATTGTGTTGTCTGCATGAATTAAGTAGATTTAGTTTTCAATCAAGAATCATAATTTGGTGATAAATCACAACAGCAGAGATTTTTTTTCATGGTTCATTTTATAACACAAAAGTATCTTACTCTTTAATTATGCATTTAATCAGTTTATAATTTGTCTTAGGCATGATGCACCAGTGTGGCAAGTAGCTTGGGCTCATCCAATGTTTGGAGTTATTTTGGCTTCTTGTTCATATGATCGTAAAGTCATCATCTGGAAGGAAACTGATGGAAAGTGGGAAAATATTTATGAATATACAAAGCATGATTCCTCTGGTAAGTATTATATTGTTGTCTTCATTTTCTAAAATTATTTTTTTTCTTTCTTATCATGCATTTTATTTCTTACCATCACTTCTGAGAAATGTTTGTGCTTATGGTTATTCTTCTTATTCAATTTGAATTAACAAAATGTTGAATTCGTATGAATACTACTAAGTTGAAATAAAACTATTAATTTTTTAAAAAAGAAAATATGGTCAAAAGTCATTAATTCGGACACCCATAATCCGGAATGATCTATAATCCGGACCTCAAAGCTACAAACTTTCTGCGCATGCGTTGCGTTCACGCTTTCGCACAGGCGTTTACGAGAGCGCGTAAGACCCTTACGGCTGCGAATATGTTTGTGCGCATACGCGTTTAATGTGTAACGGAGTTATACGCTAAGCTAAAGTTATCTAAATTCAGTTAATGTTGCAGATTGCGTTTGTTTCCTTAATCTTCGAATTGGATCGGCTTATTATTTTTTGCAGACTGTTTTTTAGAGCAAATTTTTATAAAAGTAAGCTTGAACTTTCGATTATGTCAAATAGAATTTCTGATATATATTTACTACAAAGCGAAGTATGTTTTGAAATCCGAAATCTGTTTTTTTATCAATTTCACGCTGCTCTGCGGCAGAGGGGCAGAAATGTCATTATTAGATTATGATAGATTAGAAAGATTATGTCAAATAAAATTTCTGATATATATTTACTAATATGTAATTTGTATCTACACTACAAAAGCGAAAGTATGTTTTGAAATCCGAAATAAATCTGTTTATCAATTTTCACGCAGGGGATTGGAAGTTGATCTGTCAGCACTATCCTTATCTTCAGGCAGATGTTTTTATTTATTTGTTTTATAATTCTGTACTGATGTTACTCGTCTTTGATATGATTTAAATCAAGTTCCTCCTCATTATAATTCGCTTCCGATAGTGAAGAAAGTGACCAAGGGGTTATTGAAAACGAAAACATTTCGATTGCAATTATCCAGTTAGGTCGGTATTCTCAACACAGCAATTATAGGACTTGAACAGCGGGAACTTTGTAACTAAACAAGAAATTATGTCTGTTTAATAGATTAAAGAGAAAGTATTATCACATGAAACGAAGCAACTTACATTGAATTGGAAATGTTTAATAAAGTAAACAAATAAATATTAAGCTTTTTCTTTTGTAAATTTTGATACCCTTAGATCATAATTTTTTTTATTTCATAAATTACGGTTTCATATTTTTTAATTTTGTAATTTTTCTGCGCATGCCATCTTACCAGATTTAAACTGATGATCTATAATCCGGAATTGCCGAAGTCCCGACGAGTCGATTAACCGACTTTTGACTGTATTTCGGTTTGATCTTTACAATATGGTAACTGGTAGTTTGTTGGGCGACATTTTTGAGGCGATAAAGGTTACACCTGGGACTTTGGTAATAATGTGAGCAGTACTCAGTTTCCGATTACGCATTATTTTGTGTCGGGAAAATGAGAGAGATCATGGGATATGTCATGTGATATTAATGGACGAATTATACGGTTCTTTAATCGGAAAAGGGGGGAATTTAGACAAGTATCTGTGGATGTAATATTATTTTGGTAAGCTTCATTGTGTGTTGTGTGAAGTAGGGTTGAATAATTTTGGGATTGTATGGCGCTGTCTAAAGTGAATTGTAGATGTGATAAAGAGAATTTTTTTTTTTGAAATTCTATCAAATTCAAATTCGGAAAAAAAAAAAATCGTTCAGAATTTTTATTGATCCATAAAAAAGTGATCCATCCACCATGTAAGGAAGATTCGGAGAAGATTAGGTTATTTGTTAGACTTTTGTTAGAATGTTGAAGTAGTATTCAGTTCTGATTACGCATTTTTTGGTGAGGGAAAAATGAGAGATCATGGGATATGTTATGTTGATATTAATGGACAAATTACTGTTCTTTAATCGGGAAAAAATCTGGCAATTTTTGTAATTTGGCTTTATTCTTCTGTGTTGTGTGAAATAGGTTTGTGAATTTTTGGATCCCATGGCCGTAACTAAAGTGAATTCGAAATGGGTATTTAGTGGTATTGAAAAGGATAGTAATAAATGTTTTTTAAGGTGTTTGCGAGAGAGAAATAAAGATGTTTTTTATTATGTTTATTTATTTTTACCTGGTATCTTGCTTTGAAAGATAAGTATGATTTTAAGATTCTGAAACAGAAGTAAGAAAAGTGTTATCCGCCACGTAATCAAGATTCTGAAGAAGTAAGTTTAGTAATTTTTTATTTTTAATTATTTGAGGATCTTATTTTTTTTATACATTGTTGTAAATGTAAGGTGAAAGGAATTTGGTATTTAATTGGGGGAAAATTGTTATTAGCAATGATTTAGTTTAAAGTAATTAGGATGTAAGGTAATTTTTTTTGTATTCAATTTTTAATGTTATGTGCTCATTTATATTTTAAGTAGTGTTTTTGTTTTGAATTTAATTATATATTTTAATGAAATGATAGTTATTTTGTGAATTTTATGTTTGTAGAATTTGGTATACTTTTAAGTTGAAATAAACGTGCATGGAATAATTTAAATATTTGATATTAAGTATTGTAATGCTTGAGGTATGAATTCGTTGGTGACGTTTTATAAATGTAATAGATGATTTAGAGGTAAAGTTTTTTGGATATTCTATTTATTTTATATGTGGAAATGTTCATATTTTAATGGTAAATACTTTTTCGCGATCATGTAAATTTCTATATGTTCCTTTTACGGGGTTTAAAGAATTGAGAAAATTGTCATGTATTTTCGTGAAATTTTTTTTTTTAATTTATGAGAAAAAAAAGCAGTGTACATGGATATAGTGAAGAGTGTGCGCAATGCCATTTTGTGCAATTCTGGAATGTTTTTTAAGTAAAAATAAGTCGACGTGTATATGGTTTAGTGATATTTTAAATGAAATGATAGTTATTTTGTGAATTTTTATGCTTGTAGGAATTTTGGTATACGTTAAGTTGAAAATAACGTGCATGGAATAATTTAAATTTTTGATATACTAAGTATTGTATGCTTGCGGTATGAATTGTTGGTGATGTGTATAATGTAATAGATGATTTAGAGGTAAAAGTGTTTTGGATATTTTTATTTATTTTATATGTGGAAATGTTCATATTTGTAAGGGTAAATACTTTTTTTCGCGATCAGGTAATTTCATATATGTTTCTTTTTACCGGGTTTAAAGATTGAGAAAAATGTCATGTATTTTCGTGAAATTTTTATAATTTATGAGAAAAAAGCAGTGTACATGTATAGTGAAGATGTGCGCAATGCATTTTTGTGTGCAATTTGGGATGTTTTTTTTTAAGTAAAAATAAGTCGGGCGTGTACATGGTTTATGTGTATGTGTTATTTTGAAGAATGCGTAAGGAAATGGTATGTGCATTTTTTTTTTTCCTCCTAATTTTGCAGTGAATATTTGTCATGATTAAGCAGTTTTGTTTGATAAATTTCTAGCATAAGTGTAATTCAGCTAGTAGATTGTTGGAAGAAGTGTTCAGAGATAAAAGAAAAGAAATGTCTTTAACTTCTTTACTTGTGAAGACAAAATGGCGGGGGGGGGAATAGAGGGTTGCTGTAGGAGAGTTGGTCGCCAAATTTTCGCTAAAAAATCGCCAAGTTACCATAATGTAAAGATCAACCGTATTTTCTTTAAAAATAAAAAAACAAGTTAGAATTAAATGTACATCAAGAGAAACATAAATTTAGTCTCGTCTGTTAGGGGACGCTAGGGCTTATTGTAAAATTCTTATTTTAATATTTATAATTGCATTTTTATAAACTAATATTTGTATATCACTTTAATGTGCAAGTTAACAATAAATTTCACAATCGCCATGTTCAAAAATATAAAATATTATTTCTTATTTTAAATGCATTTAAACTCATATTTATTTTGCATGCTGATTTTAATATTGAAAATTAAGATAATTTACCATTACTTCACTCTTTCATTAAAAGGAAATATATTTCTTGAAGTTTACCTTCAAGGTATAATAATTAGATCATTCAGTCATCTGTAGAACATCTTCAGTACCAATCCGTATATCTGTCAATTATAACTACAAATATTAAAATTTGTTAAGATTTTGTTAAGTGCTTTAAATTTTGTATTAAATAAAAAAGTGAAGAATTTGACGAATTCGCTTTTATTATAGATGAAAGTATATAAAAAGTATAGAATCAGATTTCCCCAACAGATCTGTAAAAAGTAGCTTTATTAGAATTGGTAATTCTCTTGCTTTACTGTAATAAATAAAACTTAAGCAGTCTTTAAAACCATATAATGTTAGTGTATTTTGTGCTGTTGACTTTTGTGAAACTAAGTATTAAATCTATTGTGTGCATGGTTAATAAATAAGAGTGTCCACAATGAATTGCCTAATACAGAAGGTTGATGCAAAGAAGTTTGTGAAGATTTTAAATTATTTACTAATTGAGCGTGCCTACATCTTGCCTAGCTGTTTGTTTAAATCTTTATTTATTAACTTTATTAGCAAGTTTATTTGTGGAAAGCAAATAATACATAAAACTTGCTAATAAGTCATAGCTTTGGATCTGTCTTCAGTTTTTTTTTTTTTTTTTGGTTTGGTTGTTGTTACATTCATTTTTGTAAACATGGTATAGATCACATTTTATCATTTTTTCCTTTCCTGAAATAGCAGCAGTGGACTTTTGTGAAACTTTGAAAATCATTAATGGAGACACATTAGATATTAAAAACATCATTTTTCTATTGAACATAATTTAAATTTGCTTTCAAATATTCTGTTTTAAATCTATTGAGGGTATTTTCTGATTATATGCAATCCTTCCTAAAAAGTCTCCAACTGTTGGCAAATAATTTTTTTTGTAAAGCTCAGATGCGAAATACAGCAGTCATTTTGAAAAATAGTACACACTAAGAATTACATAAACAGGTACCAGTTAACAAAATTACAAATATGAGAAACGTTCAGAATAAAACTTACTTCCCCCTGTTCTCAGCATGTACATAGTGATCTGTTTTAACTTTAAAATATACCAGAGAACAATAGAAACTTGCAACGTGGCACTGTGTGCGTTGTTATTCTCCCAATGTACACATCGACCTGTTTATAGTTTAAAAATATCAGAGAATTGCACAAATTTTGATCCATAAAACTCGTGTATTTACAAATAGTTTCATGCAATGCAAATTTTTACATTTTCTAGTGTTGGGCAAAAAGAGTCGTATTTCTAAAGAAATATAATGCTTTCTTTTTCATCAGCTGGCAGACTGTGTAGTTCTATTATGATTCCTTGCAAGAAAAAGGGAGGGGGGATTGCACTTGATGCAACAAAACCAAATACTAATGACTGTCAAATTTGGAAGGTGGAAATTGGCACTTATCCGCTGCACGCATGTACATCTCTGTATCGCCACACAAATAAGTTTTAATGATATCATGGGTTGCTTATTTTGCTGACATAGTGTATTTCCTAGTATATATGCTTCAGGGGTGTGCAGATAATCTGAATGTACCCTGTTCAGGTTAGTAAGGGAATTTACTGGAGCTCTACAGCATTCAGGGAAGTCCTTTTATCATGACCAATATACTGAAGTTGCATATATATATATATATATATATTCGAGATGTCATTGATATTTCAAGGGTGACAATGCTGGCTTCCAAGCCATTGCAGAAAACTTTTAAGTGGAAGGTTAAAAATTTTTTGGACTCTTTTTGTATAAATATAAGTACTTGAAGGTATTGCACTTTGTTTTTGTTACTGATGAATTCTATAATGACCACATAATAAAGTAGAATAAGTGACAGAAAAAATAATAATGGATATTAGTCTGGCAACAAAATGAAAAACTTAAAGTTTTAAATTTAGAAAGCTGAATTTATGTAAAAGAAAAACTTAGATTTTATTATTCTTTGTTCTTCAAACCTCTATTGTTAAATTTTTATTCTCCATAGGAGGGTGTCTGCAAGTTACCTAACGATTGCTCTACATGTACATTTTGTTTCGTCCAAAGGAGCTTCGTTCCTGAAGGACTGTTGTTTTCGTTTTGTGATTTTGCGTTGATTCACTGTAAATGTCCGTTTCAATTTTCAAACTGTTGCCACCAAATGTTAGAGTCCTGCATTATATTTGAAGAAATTATGTAATGAAAAATCTGCATAAATGTGTGTATATTTCTCGCATTGTGATAAAACAACAGTACATAGAGCCATTGGATTTTCGATGACGTTATCCTGCTGCGAATTTTTGGCATGTGGAAGCCCAAATTTTAAATTTAGAATTTGTGTTATTATTGATTTCATATTTTGTAAATCTTTAACGAATTTTTGATTAACAAACTCAAGGATTTCAGAGTGAGCAATGGCTACGCTGTACAGAAAAAGTATTTTTATCGCTACCGCGAAAGACTCTGTATCGGAAATTCTAAAGATATGCTCAATTTAAAACTATTCTGTGATATTGTTCTTGAACTGAATTTTATGGTTTAAGTACAAAGAATGTGATATTTAATAAATAAAGGTAACAGGTAAAATGTTAAAAAAACTTCCCTTTGGACGTAATTTAAAATCTAAAACCTTTCAGATTAAAAAAAAAAAAAAATGTTTTTTCAAATATAGTAATAAACATGGTGAAAGAACTATATACCATTACTTCCCATCTGCTACAGGGTCCATCTTATTCCAAGCCTTTAATTCAAGAAATATATTTGTATGCATTGTAGTGGTCAAAAAATATTTGTATAGAAATACAAAATATCTCAATAAAATCAGTCAAAAAATGGAATACACATAATACTTAGATTGAGAAAGTCATGTCAAAAAATGGAATCCTTTCTAAAACAAAACCGAATCATAAAAAAATAAGCTAACTCATTTAATTTCACAAGTAAATGTTTTATAAAATCAAGAAATGTTTCTTTCTGATGATGAAGTTTATAAAACTGATGTCATTGCTTTAAATATTGGAGGAAACACTCTAAACAATAACATTCTTAGTACTTGTTCTGATGCTAAATTTCATAAGTACAACACAAAAATGCATGCTCCAAATTTTATACGTTAAAGGTTAGGCAAAATCTTATCGCTAAATCCATTTTTAGATAGTCCAGGTATTCTCAGGGTGGGCAATCACTTGACATGGAAATCTCGCATACGTTAACAAATATTCCATCTTGGTGCTAAAAGGTTACATTTTAACTGATCTCATTGTTAGACATCATTAAGAAGTTCTCTTGCATGCTGGTCACAGCTTGTGCAGTCATTTTTTCAAGAACAGTATTATTAGATTATATAGATTGTCATCAGACATTTAATCAGAAAATGTGTAAAATATTGTGGAATCTGTTACTAATCAAATGATAAGCAATTTGCCATCTACTCTTGTTTACCTTGCCTCCAATGTCTTTGTGGTATGGCATAGAGTACACTGGTCAATTTCAAATTAAAGCAGGTGAGGGTTGAGGCTCTAAATCATTCAAGGCATATATAACTCTAATTTTTTTCATGGCGAGAGCTATCTTCTCAGAATTAATAACTGATCTTTTAACGCATGCTTCAAGCTCTCAAGCGGTTCATTTCCTGCAGTGGCAAATGCAGTGATATTTACAATGTTTTTGGTTCCAACTTCATTGGAGCAAATTTCAAATTCATGAAATTTACAAACCTCACAAAATCAACAATGTATAACCAAAATATAAACAAATTTTTGGTCGTTTATGGTACTAAATGGCTCTAAATGTTCCAGCTGTGACACTCACGGATGGCCTCTGAGAAGCTGGTATAAAATAAACAAGATGTCATTTAAATTGCATTGGTGATGAAATGAAATTGACATAAGAAGAATTTGAATTATTTCTCACATAATTAGAAGCTTAGCTTAATTCCAGCCTTTTATCTAATGACCTAAATGACTCATCAAACCTTTTCATTATCAATAGGCCATTCACAAGTATTCCTGTGTCAAACTACATCGAATTTAATATTTTCTACATTACTAGATGACAACATATCCAAAAAATGGTTTAGCAGTTTTTAAAACATTGGTATGAATATTATATGTGCTGGTTACAACAAAGGCCAAAATAGCTTTTGCCAAATAAAAACTCAAATTAACAGTATGTGTCCTATGAAACATGGCAGTATGCCCCCAATTAAAATGAATTCAATTCCACTTTGATGTTGATATTGTTATGATTATCAAAACATCAGGTGGTATATTTAAATAAATGTTACAAAATCATTTCTGTTACATGAATCTCGCATAATTGTAACTTATTAAGTATTCAAAAGATCCGTGCATGCCATATGTGTTGAAATACTACTAATAAGTAGTTTATTATCGGTACATGCAAGTTTACTAATTATACTCTTTTTTTTTTTTTTTTTTTTTTAAAGTAAACTCTTTGTCTTGGGCTCCAAATGAATTTGGTCTTATTCTTGCCTGTGGTAGTTCAGATGGGTCCGTTTCTGTGTTGAGCAGTACTGGTGATGGCCGATGGGAAACAAAGAAAATTCACAATGCCCATACTGTAAGTTTCAATAGTTTTTCTATGCTTTTCATTTGGTATATTTTTGCAGTGCACCACTATCATAAGTGTGTTGTATTGCTATTTGTAGGGAAAGATATTTAAATCTTTGATACTTGTGATAAATCTCTTCATGAATTTTATCTAATAATTTTTACAAATTTATCTTTTTTTTTTTTTTTTTTTTTTTTTTTTTTTTTTTTAATATAATCCGAATTACTGAGGAACAACCTAGAAAATGTGGCTAATCGTTGGAGTATGGTAACAGGCAGTTTGGCGACATTTTGGTAAGACGATAAAAGTTACTAGCTAGGACTTTAGCAGTGTACATGGATAAAGTCAAGAATGTGCACAGTGCCATTTTTGTGCAATTCTGGGATGTTTTTTTAAGTGAAAATAGGTCGACGTGTACATGGCTACCGTGTATGTGCAATTCTTAAAAACGCGGCAAGCAGTTTGCGATTCTGCACTTTGTCCCAATTTCGCACCTAATCTTCGTCATGATTAAGCACTTTCGTTCCATAAAAGCTCAAGAATAAGCGTAATTCGGCTAGCAGATTGTTGGAAAAAAATGCTGAGTTTAAAAAAAAAAATGCCTTTACTTCGTGTAAACAAAAACTAGCAGGCTGCTGTAGCAGGGTTGGTCGCCAAATTGTCGCCAAAAAATCACCAAGTTACCATAATCCAAAGATCAACCGAAAGTGCATTTAGGTTAACCCTTTGAGGTTTGGTGCATATTTTTTTTTTTTTAAATAACTTTACACATAGATAATTGGCCCCTAATACAATGTTATTTGATTCAAAAAAAAAAAAAAAAAGTAAACCTTTAAGGTAATTCATGACATGGTGGGATACTGCTTGTCCCACCGCACATCTAGAGTAGTAAAATGGCATCTTTGCTTAAGTGTAAATTCTCCTAACATGTTTATCTAAAGTGGTAGTTTTAACAACCAAATGAAAATGCAAGATATAAAAAACGTTTTTGAATAATTATCTAGAAAATATTGATCATATTCGGAAAATAAAAAATATTTGTTTAAAAAAATTATACGATTATAAAAAAATAGCTTTCTGTATGACTTTTTAGATATTTTTTAATGATTTCATAATAAATTTGAAACAGAGATTTTTGTTCCAGTACTTTATTTGCTACAAATTTGAAAAGGAAGATATTTAGAAAGCTGTCATGTTTATTTACATTTCACCTCTCTTTCCTCTGCTTAGGATATTTTTCTATGGTGAATCACACTCGCATATCCATTCAGTATTCAATGACGTTTCATGTTACATAGTTAATTTCATTTCTTTTGGAAAACAACATTATTGCAATTTATTAAAAAATATACATTTGCATTATCAATATATAAAATGAACATACTTGAATTTAAAAATATTTGAATGGTGCTGCCATCTAGTAGCATCAATTCGTACATGCATGATGGAATGTATTTGTCTGATCTTTTAATTTCAACCATTCTTAATTAATATATATGAATTCAAATAATAATTTTTATTAGAAAAGGAAACTTTCACATAAAAATATTCATTCTAACACCAAAAGCTGCTGTTCAGACGATTTAAATGGCATCAGAAATTAAGGAAAAAAACTGCTTCAAAATTAGACCTGCAAAGAATTTTTATTTTACATTATTTCTATGAATGAATACTAATTCTGCCATCTGTTATACATTTAGAGAACTAAAAGACATAATTTGAGTATTTTAAATGGAATTTTGCAGCTTTCATCTGGGAGATAAAAACTGATAAAAAAGGTGGGATGCCTTTTTTATCAGTTTCCACCGCCCGTCAAGTTACTTTAACCCTTTGATGGGCTTTGATGTTATACCCATTATACTTGAACCCTTCCCACCGCCCATCAAAGGGTTAAAGTATGAGGAGTATAAATCCATAGTTCTGATGTGGTGCCAAAGTGTTTACATTTTTATGTGAATTTTACAAGATGAGTAACCTACAAATTTTCACAGATTAGAAACTTTTCCAGTGTGAGTAACAAAATTACATTTCATGAGTAATATCCTACAACAAAGATTTCCAATTGGTATCCATATATAGCTGCCATATTTTTTTTTACAGAGTTTAGAAGAGTTATTATTATTGACCCTAAATTTCTTCAAATGTGCATGTTTTCATAATTTCTTCTTGATTATATATTCTTAGTACATATTTAAAATTGGGGATGAATTTTGTCTTTTGAAAAATAATGCTATAAGAGAAGATTCAGACTGAGTACTTTTTTTTTTTTTTTTTTTTTTTTTTTTTTTTTTTTTTTTTATAAAACTGTATGTTTGGAAGCATGTGCAGATAATGCCTCTTCTTCTGTGCATTGAGTTTTGGTTGCCAGAATTCAGTGCATGGTGTGTAGAATTCCAATGCAGAATACACTAAAGTAATTCTTCATTCAAAACTTTTACATATTATCTTTATATTCTGCTCTATCTTTCACAGTTATGCTAAATTAATATTTCATTTTTAAACAGTATTAATATTGTTAAAAAATAAATGTCATGATAAATTGTATATTCTTTATTATTGTGCTTTAGGAGTGTTGCTTGCATAGGAACGCTGCGAAAGCCGAATGAAATTTTTTTTTCAGAATACCCCGGTGCTGTTAATAAATGTTAATGCCAAGGATAGTTTAATAGGCTTAAATTGGAGCCTAGAATGGGAAATCAAGAGAGGAATAAAATGATGAAGATACTGATAAGAGTTTGGGAGTCAAATCCACTTATCGTAATAAGGAATAAAAATAAATAAATAAAAATTTTAGAATTTACTGGCATTGCAAAAGAACTAGATGAAAGAAATACTATTTCAAGCACTGCAAGCAAGAAAACTGTTTGATGCACATAAATGATGTGAATCACATGCAGTAGAATTGCAGCTTATTATGGATGATCTACTTAACCAAACACTAGTGTGTTTATATCAAACAATCAAAGACTCAATCTGCATAGTTGAAAGTGATTGTAACTTATCATGTGTGGTGTTTCACGTATGCAGTAGCTGATTGTAATTTATCCTATTATTGATAGCTGATTTCAACTTAAAACTTATTATTGATAGCTGATTTCAACTTAAAACTTATTATTGATAGCTGATTGCAACTTAAAAACAATTTTTGTAAAGGAATAAAATCATGAATTAAGGTGTATAACTGTTTTATAAATTTTTTAAATGTTTTTCGTTTCATTACTATTACTTTAAAGAATTCTCCTATCTGTCAATACAATTCACTATTAGCTCTGTTAAGTTGAAAGAAAAATATTTAAATTGCCCTTCACGCAAAAGGCAAACAGCTCATATATCCATTGGTTTTGGTTGATGTGACTCTTGAAAATAACTTATCTACAATTGTATTGCTTGAAAATTAAATTAATGAAATAAGCATATGTAAACAGCAGCCACTGGAGCTGAAAACTGTTTGCATCCTGCTGTTTGATTTTAGGATTTCCTGGTGCCAGCTTATTTTTAAGCTTAAATATATTTTATATATTATAAACTTAGGCTAGCAGATACATTATTTTAACATATAAGCATTTTACGATCTATTAAAAATTTTTAAAGTCTGAAAAAATAGCACAATAAAATGACAGAGCAGCAAAAATTTTGTAAAATTGCACACACACAAATTTTAGTCGCAAAGTTTTGTTAAAAGCAGCAAATTTGTGAAAAATCGCACAATCTGCCAACACTGTATCCAATAAACAAATCAAATGACATTAGCAGTAGTTTCCTTAATGAATTTTATCTATCCCAAGTATAAATATAGAAGAGGATCCACAACAGACTGTGACTTTAGGCAAATGGAGGAGCTTTCCCTAGAAAGTGTGTAATTTGTTTCAGTATAAATATGCTGGGGTAATTATATATTAACACAGCCATTTAAGTTGAAGTCGCCTAATTTTCAGGATATGTTAAGAAAAGTATAGCAACCACATGCATAGTAGTTGTTCAGTTTCTAACAATATGTGCATTCCTCTTATTACAAATTTCAACTGTTTTTATAGACAGGTCATGAATATTTAGTGGTAGGGTTTTAAAATATATTTTAATATATGTGATATAGGATTGCTTGCAATGAAAGGAATTATGATAAAACATGCAGGAATGCAGTATTGTGTCACAAAACCACTTAAGTGAACAATCCCTTTGAATCTATTTTTAAAGGGATCACCATGAAATTTCCACTAGAACAAAAGGAACAATAACCTGATTTCAAGGTCGAAGAGTTGCAGTTCCTTCTTATGCTCTTGATGAAGTGGGACCAGTACCTGTTTGTCTTTGAAATCGATAGAATTTCAGTTAAAATCTACAAATGCAAAGTTGATGTTTTGTCTAATTATACATTCCCCAAAGATGTCATGAGTTAAGTGGTATTTTCTTGCTTATGTAAACTATTATTATAACTTCAAAAATGATCCTTTCAATTTGTATTTTGGACCCTTTTCTTCCAATACATGTAGTATAATTGTGTGGACGTATTTCAAAATATATATCTGTGTACTTAAAGATATAGTGACCAACAATTTTGATTGTATATGTATGGCTTGATAACTTGCAGATTTAATTTTTGTAATTCACTTATATCATGAAAAAAATTAATTAATATTTTTACTTTTTATCATTAATTCCTAAATCTCTCAAACATTAAGCCTAAAAAAGTTAAATGCATTAATTACAAATTAAGATGCTATTTTGGTTTGAAAAATTAAGTTACATTATTTCTTCATCAAATGTGTTTAAGCGAAATGCAAATATTTTTTAGTTGTTAAATTCTAGCATTTATAAATGAAGTGGAAGTATAATTTTTCTTTATATTTAATTTTTTCCACCCTCCAGATTGGCTGCAATGCAGTTTGTTGGGCTCCTGTTAATGCACAACTAGTATATGCAAATTCTAATGAATATACAGGATCAAATTCTAACATTTCTGCGGCTAGTTCAACAAAGAGGTTTGTCACAGGTGGTTGTGATAATCTTGTGAAGATATGGAAATATGTGTAAGTAGATTTTAGTGTTAAATTTTTTATTTTTCCATATCAGTATTATATGCACAATGTTAAATTGAAAGGAAATGTGCTAAATTTAAGTGACTTTATAATAATGTGTGTGTATATATATGTGAGATATTACAAAATACGATGGCTATGCATCAAAATAATCGGCAAACTCAAAATTGACTGTTCTAAATTTGGTGTTATCCCCCCTAAGTTCATCTGCTCTCCCAAATTCAACATCTTTCAACGTTACATAACAACTTAAAATTAATCAATCACAGCTTAACTTGCATCTACTTAGTATAAATACTGCTTGCAAGCAACTAAGTCATTCCTTTTCCAAACTTCTAACATACCAACATCTCCATGCTGCTTATGATTTCCTGTCTAAGATGTTTACGTCATATTTTTAAAACCAGTGTACATAAAAATTATCATATATAAATATGATTGGATAAATACCTTGTCTACAAAAATGATCTGATGTAAATTGTCATAAAATAAAATTGTTTCAAAATGGCCGCGTCTGAAAGTTGTTGGTTTATGTATCCGTCTGTCTAACTACGAACTTAAAATATTACATATATATATATATTACACCCACACACATTATTATAAATTCACTCAAATTTAGCACTTCTTTTTGCTACTTTAGTAAGAATTATTGTACAAGCATAAAGTCTGAAATCTGGCCATCAAATATCCATGTCACCAGCAATTCATCCCCCTCAAAAATATTTTGCAAAAGATTCCTAGAGTTTTTTTTTTTTTTTTTTGTGTGTGTGAAAGATTCCTAGAGTAATGTCTTGCTTTAGCATTTATGTATGTGCAGTAGACCTTTCGTTTTTCATAATAAAACATGTGGAGGAATTCTTAATTTCACTTCAGCGTTAAGCAAAACATTTCATATTGAAGAAACACAGTAATTTATTAGCATAAATCTGGGGACCCATGTTTTTGCTTGGTGCCAATCTGCCTTTTGCCAAACTACTCCTCTAACATATATTGCTGATTTAACACACCTACTGAATAAGTTATATCATGAAAAATTTTTTATTATTTGTTACTTTTATCATCACATGATTATTAACTCAAGGCAGATTGAAAAATGACTTGTGTAGCAATGCTTAAAAAACTTTTTTTTTTTTTTAAATATTAGTAACTGAATATCAAACAGCATGATAGACTTTTACGTTGACATTTATACTTAGCAACAATTACAGACTTCATTAAGCAAACTATGCTGTGAAGTGCTGAGTTTGTTGACGAGGAGAAATTTAACAGAAATTTCCTTTGGTATGGAAAGGAAAAAGAAATGATTTTGTAAATGATATTCCTAGGCCAAAAGATTGAATTTAGCACTATTTAAGAATAACTGATTAGTTGTCCAGGTATGCCTTAAGTATATGTGGAAATTTATTTATTCAGGACTCGGATAGGCTTTTGGCCTGTGTGTTAAATACATGTAAGTATAGTTAAACTAATATAATTCAGGCATAATTACCTCAGCATGCAATAGAAGAAAGACAAAATTTAGTGGAACTACACATCTCTAGTCATTTTCAGCTACTGTAAACCAAAAGTAAAAGTTCCCAGTTAATAGAGTTCGTGAAAGAGTACGAGGGAGTGGTAATAAATGAAGATGGTATAGCACGTTTTTCTTTAACTTGTAAGTCTCTATTCATGAATCATCAAAAAAGATTAAATCTGTAGTATGGTTCTAAATTCAGAAAATATTGCTACTGGCAGTGAAGAAAGTGACAGAGAGGTTGCTGAGAATAAGGAATTTGGATGAGCAATTTAGTGAGAATTCTTATTACAGCAATTACAGGATTTGAACTGTGGAACTTTGTAACTGAACAATAAATTATGCCAATCTATAAAATTAAAGGAAAAGTATTAGCCCCAAAAATAAAGCAACTTAAACAGCTTTTCTTGAAAGAAATGTTTAATAAAATAAACAAATAAATACTGAGGATTTTTTTAAATATTATTTTGATTTCTTTTAGCTTACAAATGCTTCATTATTTCATAAACAACTCTTCCTAGCTTTAATTTTATATTTTCTGTCTGTCATCTTACTAGATTCAAACTGATGGTCTAAAATATGGAAAATTAAGGAATCTGGAATCGCCAAAGTCCTAATGAGTCTGGATCGGGGACTTTGCACTAGATATGTTTGCTATGTAAATGCTGGTCAATTAGCTGCTCTCTTTTATGAATAAATCACCAATATTTCAGTATGATTATGCATATCTTAAAAGCTGTTTGTCAGTGCATTTCCAGATCATTAATTAAGGTTGAATGCTCCAAACATAATATTTATCTCTCTCTAGATTAGAAAATGAGTATTCTAGCTTTCTTTTTTATACATATATGAACTTTTTCTTTAATAAATTAAAAGTGCTGATTAAAATATTAGTTTAGAATATTATGAATTAATTTTATTGTGAAGTTCCAGTTTTTGGTCTCTCTTTTAAAGGTAAAATATATATGTGTCTAATAATATAAATACTTACAACATTTACTATTAAGTGTTTTGCCAGTGTGCATTATTTTATGAATGAAAGTAAGACGTACTTTGAGTTTTCGAAAGCATTTTATTGCCAGGAAGATATGGAAATATGCTTACTGGTCCTACTTATTGACAGTGAATTTACAGTTTTGTTGTATTATATTTAATAGATCAAATTCTAGGAGAAAAAAAAAAATGTTGATCTATCAGTAATTGAGTGGATAAAACTTCTGTGTGCTACTATCATCCAGAGTTTTCTATGAAATGAGTTAATTGCATGAATGTTTGCTGAGTAACAGATGTGAAGAGAAAATCGTGTAAAGGTTAAAATAGGCTTGACATGGGCAGTTTCCATTAAAGGAAGTTGATTGATAGTATCAGCTAGAAATTCTTGGGAAATGCAAACAGCTTTTCATGTATAGTCTTTGTAATAAACAAGTAATAACAGAACTAGTATATATTTCATTTTTATGATTTCATAAAAGATATACAAGTTAAGATAAAATTCTAACTATAATAAATTATACTCTTTGAAGTCAGCTCTTTAATCTGTTTATTTCCCTCTTTGTCTTAAAATCAGTAGAATGGTTGTAATAAATATTTCTGAAGTGTGCTGTCCTAACATTAATTACTGGAGGTGAGACAAATCCTAAATTTTCTTGAATTTCAAATCCCCAAAGTCTCTCTAATCCATAAAATCCCTCAGATGACTCAAATAATAATAATAAGGGACTGAAACCTTTGTTTAATCTTACCTTGTTTTAATAAAAGAAAATTTGAAATATGCATTTGATTAAAAGCCAGTTAAAATACACCTGCATATATTAAACATATGAACAAAGTATAATGAATAATAGCATAATTTAAAACTTTTTAGTTAAAAATTTACTTTTTCAACGTGATTTGGCAAAAATTGCTGGAATAAATTAAGTGATTTTAATGATTCAAAGTTTCTGCAGTTTTAAAAAAAACTTTTAAAATCTTTTTTATTTATTTATTTATTTATTTTTTGGCCGTTCAAGCAAATGCAGATGGAAGAGGTTTGTTTCAAGAATTAACACAGATAAACATTAGAACCAGAATAGGTTTATTAAAACTGTTAAGGCAACAAGAATCAGTGTAATATTTGTAAATTTTAAGGACTAGTTTTGAAGGCTTAAATATAGAATCTTCTTCAGCTGCAGAAGTGCGAATGATGAAAGAGAAGCCTGTGCTGAACAAAAACTGTATTTTAAGAATTTGTAGTAGGACAACAGAATATCATAAGATAATATTAATGATCTGGCCACTACTGAAGTCACTACAATTACACTCTTTTGTTTTTAATTCATGCTTCTATTGAACATTAAAAAATAAATAAATGAATTAATGAAATAATCTTTCTGAATTTATAATCTGAAATCTGGGTCTCCGGACTACCAGCAGCTTTTTATTTTGTTTGCTTTATGCCTGCGCATTTGATATTTTTCATGATAAAAATTGTATGGAAATTCTACATTCTTAATTTCACTTTGGCACTAAATAAAATTACTCCATTTCAGAGAAACAATTATTCATTAGCATAAATATCTGTGATCAATAAATTTGGCTCAGTAACTGCCATTTTGCTTGGCGTGCATTTTAAACCGAAGCATCGTTGATTTTATACGTATTGGATAATTTATATCCTTTTTAACCTGGAAAATCATTATTTATTATTTTTTTGCTTTCATCACTGCATGACTCATTGCTTGGCACCTTAAGAAATGACTCACACAGTGTTATCTAAGTATTTTAATATTTTTTTAGTAGTAATTGAACACCAAAGAGCATGCTAACTTTTTATGTTAGCATTATGTTTGAGGATGATTACAGACTTCAACTAACTGCACTGCAAAGTGTTGAGGAGGAGAAATGTAACAGAAATTTCTTTCCGTAAGCCAAAAATAAATAAGCAAATAAAAATTAATCAATAAATAAAAAATAATAAAAATAATAATGAAAAATTAATGATATTTAAAGACCAAAAGATCACACTTTGTGCTGTTTGAATTAATAACCAATTTCCTGTATATGTGGGAATTCATTTATTCAGGACTCGGATAAGCCTTAAGTATATGTAGGAAATTGATGTAAGTATATTAAACAACTAAATTAATGTAATTTTGACTTAACTTCCTCTCTGTGTGATAGAAGCAAGACATTTATTTTTTTGTAAACAATGTACCTCTAGTTGCCAATCTCATAATACCTCACCAATAGTTTATGGCAGATGCTAGCTAAGCTGTATGATTGATTATAGCCGTGAATTTGAAGGTTTCTGATATTGCAAACAAAAGGCGAAATTTTCCAGTTAATAGAATTTGTGGAGAAGTGGTAACAAAGATGATATAACAGAAATTTTTTATTATGATGACATTGCCCCAAATATCACTCAATTAACGAGTGGTGAAATCTGCAGTATGGTTCAGAATTCTAAAAATATCACTATCAGTAGTGAAGAAATTGACAAAGAAGTTTTTAAGAACAAACAAAAAAAAAAAAAAATTGATCGACAATTTAGTGGGAACTCTCGACACAGCAATTACGGGACTTGAGCAATGGAACTTTGTAAATGAACAAAAACTATATTTATATATAGAGGTAAAAGGAAAATATTAGTATGAAAAATAAAACAACTTGCATGGAAAGAAATATTTAATAAAGGAAACAAATAAATATTGACCCCTCTTTTTTTTTATAAATTTGTTATTTGTTTCTCTTAAGGTCAGAATGCTTCATTATTTCATAAACCGCTATTTCATATTTTGTATTTTAGAATTTATAAATGTCATCCTACTAGATTTAAATTATGATCTAACATCCGGAAAAATCCTAAATTCAGAATCGCCAAATTCTCGACAAGTCTGGATCTCACACCACTTGTAATGCTTAAGTGTGTGAAACCTTGATGCTTATAATTGCTGAATACCACATCTCTTGTGTCAATATATCTGTATATGTTTGCTTTAAAATGCTATGCCAAAAGTAGAGGATTGTATCAACCATTCATGATTGCATTTTTGTTTCAAAAAAAGCATCTAGGTTCATCATGGTCATTCTCTCTTTTATGTCAAACTCAAATTTTCATTATTTTTATAATTTTGTTTTAAATGTTTTCTTTTCCTTTCATGTAAATAAAGGTTTTACTGTCAAAGTTAAATATCATCTGCTTTCACAATTAATTTGTTAATGTAAATGTATAACAGCTTCCAATAACATTTTATATAATTTCATTCTTTTCAGAAGCATTTATGCTTGTTTATAAACTGCTGATATTTTTTTGAAAGAAATTTTTTTTTTAAATGGCCATATGAATTAATCCAATTTTCTATGGGTAAATTAAAATATTTATAAAAAATTTCAGCATTTACACTAATAGTGTTTTGATTGCATAACCTTGAATTTTAATTCATAGCTTATGGAAATTTTATTATTGGAAGAGACAATTTAAACATTCTTTAGCAATATTTTGATTTTTTATCTTTATATAAAATTTGAAACGTATAGTATTGGGCTTGCACTACTAACTATGCTATTTAATTCTTTTTATTTTAAATAATTGTTCTTTCAATGCATATCAAAGTGCGAATTTTTATGTATGTTTGAATGGAAGTTTTAAAATCAGATAGGATCATAACTACATGTTAAAAAAAAGCCCTTTTTTAGCTTATTATGAAAAGCCTTTGTAAAAGGAAAATAAACAGTTCTAAGCAGTGGGTGAAAATTGAACACTTTTGTTATATCATTGTAATTTTTTTTTCTTGCAAAGCATTTCCAAGGAATTTATTTAGTAGTTTCAAACAGCATTTATGCTTGTACTTCTGGTTTGACATTTGACTGCAGGTATAATTGAGATAACCTGTAGTTTTCATTTCTGTTATTCTGTTGTGTATATTTATATGCTGATCTTATTTTTAATTGGACTTTAGTTTTGATTTAATATGCCAAAAATATGTAAAAGATTTAAAAGAGTTTACTTATCTATTTTAGAGATAAAGAAGATTCATGGATTGAAGAAGAGAAATTAGAAGCTCATTCAAATTGGGTTAGAGATGTTGCTTGGGCACCTTCAGCACATTTTGGACAGAGTGTAATAGCGAGTTGTTCTCAGGTAAATATATCATTTTGTACATTAAATTTTAATTTCAAGTATGTTAACGTTTCTATTTTTAGATAAATGAAAAGAATGAATTTCTGAATTTTTTGGTATTTGTGTAGTAACTGTTATCCTACCAGTACACCACAAACAATCCATTGGTTCCTTTTAAATCAAAATTACTTTTTGAATATCAAACTGATGTTTTTCTACATCACATCAAATTTTTATTTTTGCAGTTTGCCTCCATACGAGTGGCTAAATAAGAAGGCAAGTGACTTCTTGAACCAGTTCCGACTTCAGATTCTTAACACTTTGTTGGCTGTTGTTGTCATTACATACCCATTATGTATTTTCCATTGTTTAAAATTTTATTGCATAGGAGCCCACCAGCGGCCGAGCGGTAAAGTCGCTGAACACTGGTAGTTCGGTCCGCGGTTCGAATCCCGCGAACGGGCTGGCTGCATGGGCGTTTTCGTGGTTTTCCCCATGTGTAACGTGTATACGAGCCAGTTTCCCTTAGAAAGTCCTCCACGAAAGGCATCCCTCCCCTTAGGCAGATAGCCCTCGTGTGCTTTGCCATAATTAAATACACACATTATTGCATAGGAAGAGCAACACATGCAGTTTTTGGCAAACTATCATACGCCTGGAAATAATGGATTGCTTTTGGAGATATGCCATTCACTCGCCAACAGATTCATTTCACTGAGCTAATGATCAGTGATGTTTAAAAAAGAGTAGTAGGTTCTTTTAGATTTCACCTACTGGAAGCTCTTGTTGGAGTGTGCTGGGACAATTCGATTCCCATTTTAGAGCAGAGAAAAGAATGCTTGTGTTCCCTTGGTGAATGCAAGTTTGATGTTTATTATTTTCAAACTTTTTGAATAATTTTTAGTATTTTACTGTTTACTCTGTCTAGAAATGAGATGAGTTATAAAAAAGAACCATTGCAGCCCTGAGAATGAATAGTTCCCTTAATAGAAAGTTTTGTCCACCTCTGATTGATTCTCCTTCATTTCTTGTAATTGCATGGTGCAAAAATGTATTAACACAAAATGAAAAATTGTTCTGAAAATTTTCTGTAATTTTAAAGGAAAAAAAGGGGGAAAGAAAAGGTGCCTTGCAGGTTGCTGTAATTGGTTTCAACATTAAATTAATGAAATCAAATTCGTATAACATCACCTTCAGTTTGAAATGAAAAAAAGCCACCCCACCCTCTCTTAGACTCCTCTCACGAAAAATAACATTAACAAGAAGAAACAAGAAAAATCACGTTTCTAGTGTTTTTCTCATACTGGCAATGCATAATTTACATGATTTATTTTAGTTAGTGCTTTTATACCAAAACCTTTATTATTTAAAAATTGAAATCAAAGAAAAGTTACATGTTTAAAATAAATATACAAGGACTGCTCTATTTTTCCTTTACAAGAAAGCTTATTCATATTTTACATTTTTGTAAGACTTATGGGTAGGGATTTCCTCCCCCTTCTCTTCCACTTAGGGTAGCCATGCTACCTTTAAATGTCAAGGAATTCGTAAAATGATGAAAAGCGGCAGGGTATTTAAATATTTTAGTCAAAATCTGGAAAAGTCAAGAAATTTCACACGGCGATTTTCACGGCAACGTTGGAAGCAATCACTTCCTTGCTGAATTGTGTATGGCGTGAGTGTCATTTGGGAATCTAAACAAGAAATCTAGTTTTGTGCTAATTTTTTATTAATATTTTTTCTATTAACGTTTGTTTAAATATTCTAAATGTCTTTTTTTTGGGGGGGGGAGGGCATTTTCAATTCTAATAAGAATTACGTTTAATTTGTATTATATATGCTTATATTAAAAATTTTTCATCAAAAGTTGACTTCTTAAAAAAAAACTGCTTTTTTTAACCTTTCAGAATTTAGCACGTTTCGTAATATTACTAAGGTGATTTTTCGATAATTAGATATTATTTAATTTGTAAACAATAACTTCCATTCCAGAATTTATCTTTAATACTTTTTAAAACAATAAAGCTGCCATTCATGACATAATTTTATCACAACTAATGGTGGAAACAATCCAGTGTTTAAATATTCTTACATTGCATTGAAAAATTTATGAATTTCATTTCTAATTTTGTCTATTACTTAGGTGGAATGTATTTTAAGTATTTAATTTCTTTTGTAAATGTATGTTTTTATGTATGTGAAATTAATTTTTAAGTTATACTTTTAACTAATTATATTTTTGATAAAATGTACTTTTTATACATCTCTCTTCTTTTTTTTTTTTTTTTTTAATTTTGAAATTAGCTTCAATAGTGCACATTATCAGTTTGTTGTAGCGTAATGTTTTATTATAATATAAACTACTTTTGCAGGATAAAAGAGTAATAATTTGGACCAAAACTAAAGACACATCTTGGACTCCAAAAGTACTTTACACATTTGATGATGTAGTATGGCATGTTAGTTGGTCAGTAACTGGTAATGTTCTTGCTGTATCTGGTGGTGATAATAAAGTACGTTATATTTTTACCCTTTCTTTTTTAATAAATAGGTTTTTAGCAGTAGATGTAAAAATATGGTAATAAAATTATCTCGTTTATTTTAAAACCAAAGTCAATTATAGTAAAAACCGTGTTTTTGTAAAAAAAAAAAAAAAAAAAAAAGTTTTTTAGATACCAGCAGCAGATATAGATTTCTGTAGCCCTCATATTAATCAACTGTTTAAAGAAAATTTTATATGTTATCATTTTAAGATTCAATTCAAAACAAAGATGTATTTATTTTTTTTCCCTTGTGTGTGTGTATGTGAGAAATTTTTTTGTTTATGAAGAAAATCTTGATGCAATTGTTATGATTTTTTTAGTATTTTGAATTTTCTTTTAAGCTTTTAAAATGTTGCATATTTCAGCGTTGTGCTCAGTGCACCAATTGCTCCTAATTGCAACTTATAGCTAGTGTTGGGCCAGTTTGCTGTAAAAAGTCAAAAACTGCCAATTTTCCATCCAAATGTTGATACAAAATAGACTTATTAATGGTCTGCAAAATCTACAGTTTCTGAGCATTTGCTTATAGTTACAGCACATTTTATATCAGTGGTAGCAAATAAAAAGTTAAAACCATTTAGATTTATTTTTTGTATTTAATGATTGGGAATGACATGAAGGTATAATTTACTGTTGAACTACTCTTACACGTGCTTGTGCCCCATGAGACCTCTGAATACCAATAGTTCGAGCAGGCTTTTGGAATGTCACTCACAATAAATTGTTTGTATTTAGTAAACCTATAAGTTTTACCTACCTAGTTAATCTAGTTTTTTAAATTTTGCATTTCGAATTTAGATTTTTCTCATATTTTTCAACAATTTCTGTAGTTATCTTTACTTTTGATTTGTTTATGGTTTAAATATATTTGAATTAAAAACATGTCCATAGACATAGACTCCAACTACTACGGATTCTCCGTAGTTTCTACGGAAATTCATGAAAAACTACGAGCTGCGAAAAGTATGGAAAAAACTACGGATTTTACAGAAACAAGAGCAGGAGAACCAGTACGCAAAACGGAACCAACTAATTCATCCGATGATTGGCTGAATACTCGTGTTATCATATATCACGTGTTGAGTGCGTTCCTAGTTTTGAAGAATTAGCCAATCGTAGATCAGTAACTCCAACCGTTAACGACTTATCAATAGTTCCACCCAATTGTCTGTCTCCCAGGTTCCTCGCTGATGCGTGTTTAGGCTGCATTCGGCTGCATTGTGTAGTTTACGGCGAGAGCTTAGCGTGTGTCTTGTGAACTGTGAATCAGGTGAAAGATTTTTAATCATAATGCTGCCTCGAACGAAGAAGCCAAAATTATCAAAGCAGAAGTTTAAAGATTCATATTCTTCAGAATTTCCATGCATTAAAGCGTCCGAAATTTCTGTGAAATCACGCACACTGCAGTGTATGCAACAAAGACTTCTCAGTTTGCTCATGGCTGAAAACGATGACTGTAAACGGCATGTGTTTTCTCAAAAGCATATAGAACTTGGCACCGTAAAATCTAAAGAAATAACAAATTTCTTAATAAAAGATGATGAAACAGATCCTATAAAAGCCGAATGCTATTTTGTTCGATTTTTTAATTGAACATAATCTACCGCTTTCTGTTTCGGATCATTCCAAAGAGCTTTTCAAAGCAATGTTTCCGGATTCTGCCATAGCAAAAAAAATTTAGCTGCGGTCATACCAAAACTGCTGCTATTGTGAAAAGGTTGCAGAAAATACTGTTGCTGATATTATAAAATCAGTGTGCAGTACATCATTTTCTCTAAGTACTGATGGACGTAATGATAACAATGATAACAAACTGTACCCATTGGTTATAACATACTACAGTTAAGAAAAGGGAGTGATAATTACTTCATTGATTTCTATTTTAGAGTGCACGAATAATACAGAAGGTATTTTTAATTGTATAAATGAAAACTTTAAATACAAAGGTTTAGAATGGAAAAATTGCTTATCATTTTCTTCAGATAATGCTAGTAATATGATTGGAAAGTTTAAAGGTGTAGCATCATTTATCAAAATGCATCAACCAAGTATAATCACCCGAGGTTGTCCGTGCCATCTCTTGCATATAACTGCAAAAAAACCTACTGAAAAATTAATTGGCTCAGAAATTGAAATGTTGATAATAGATATATATTTTTACTTGGAGAAAAGTTCGAAACGGAAGCATAGCTTCAAAGTTGCTCAACAAATTTTGGGACAGAATGCAAAATCTCATAAAATTTTGAAATATTGCAGTACGAGATGGTTGTCTCTTTTAGAATCTATAACAAGGATTTTGGAACAGTGGGATGCTGTGATAAATTTTTTGGAGATAAACCAGATAACAGTGAGAATGAAGGAAAGAGATTGCAAAACATTAAAAAAATTTTACAGTCACCGACCACCAAATTGTACTTGTTATTTTTGAAAAATACTTTGCCTTTGTTTATAACAGTAAATATTAATTTGCAACAACAAGCTCCTTATATACATAAATTGAGAAGAGAACTTTTTGAACTTTTAATTAATTTATTTGTTAGATTCGTAAAACCATCAGTAATTTCTAAAGACAATGAAGATGTTACTCTAACGTCTATTCCATTTCAGAAGTATAGTAAACAAAAAGAAAATGAAAATTTAGTGATTGGTGCGGAAACAAGACTATATTTAAAAAATGCCAAGTTGAATGAAAGTGAAGTGAAATCATTTTTCAATTCTGTGCGAGCTTTTTTTGTAACTGCATGTTCATATATAATTGATAAATTTCCACTGAGTGATCCATTTCTAAAACATGCTGAAGTTGCTGACATCAACTTGAGAACTGAAGTCTCATTTTCATCTGTTCTTTACTTGATGAATACTTTTCCATCCATTATTGATGAAAAATGTCTTAATAAGTAGAAATTGAATTTTCCATGTATCAAGTAGATGATTTGAAAGAAATTGTATTGTAGATTTGCGTATTGATATAGCATGGGAGAAATTGCCAAATTAAAAAAATATGAATGGGTGTATTAAATACAAAGTATTGCCTTCTGTAATGCTTGCTGTCTTAATAATACCTCATTCAAATGCAGCTTGCGAAAGAATTTTTTCTATTGTTAAAAAAAATCAGACGGAATTTCGACCAAATTTAGGTCTTAAAAACTCTTGAAGCAGTTTGATTGAAAAAATAAATATGCAGGCAAATGAAGAACTGTGTTATAAAAAAACATTCTCAAAATCAGAACTTAAGCTTGCTAAGCATGCTACATATAAATCTTTGCATTCATAAATTATGCGTATTTTGTTTAATACTTATATGTATCATTCTTGGTTATTTAAATTTATTTCCTTTTCCCTGTAGAAATCATATCCAGAATAAAGATATGATTTATAGCTTCTGATTTTTTCTATGATTAGTAGTGATTTGAAGTACTTTTTATTAGTGAATGCTTGAGGAGTTAAAAGAAAATTTCTAATTAAATGTGCATATAATTTACAAGGTATATTTTTAATTATTCAGTTTTATATGTATATGGATTTTAAATGTAATAAAATTTATTACAATTAATTATTAATTTAAAATTAATGAATGGTTAATTACAACATATGCTACGTGCACATTTTCAAAGTTGTAAAAATGTCGTTCGCGCGTTGACTACTGACTATTGCTGAAGGTTGGAGTCTATGCATAGAGTGTAATTTCTGTTCAACCTATTGAATACTTGACAGACAGATTTTGTCATGTAAAAATATAACATATTTTGTCATAGAATCCCATGTAACTACCCCCTTGAAAGGAAAAAAAAAAAAAAAAAAAGCTATTTAGATTTCTTATAGCTTTTTCTAGCTGTTTAAACTTTTGAAGTTGGAATTGAAATAAATATCTGTTTAGCTTATGAGATTGTTTTCACTGCATTCCTTAATGGTATACCTCAACAAATGCATAATAAGGTCAATATAAAATGCTTAAAAATACTAAAATATTTTATTTGCTTTGTATTCGTAAAAGTGCTGTATAGTTATGTTCATTTTTTAATTGGTTACAGTTGGAAACATCACGGCGAGTCCAGCGTAATAATACAAAACGAAACATTATTTTACAAAACATGAAAGAAAATATCACAAAGAGTTGAAAATAAAGCTGTTAAAGAAACTTCGCAGTTTAAAAACATCCTCCTCGAAAATATTGTGGTAAAAAATAAGGTACCTACAAATCATCACATTATGATAACATCACACACATGCGTTTTTGAAATCCCATACTGACATATTATGTAACTGACTTTCAACATAACTAACAAATCGACATCCAAAATATTCATTGCATGCTATGCATGAAAATGTTAATGACATTTTAAGAACAAACAGAAACAAAACAATATGAGATTAACAAATGTGAAAGTAAATAATTTGATCATTAACTTTGTAAGCAATTTTCATAGAGGTGTAACCTTATGCAGTTATTTATCTTTCTTTTTCTAAGCATTGTTAGACTGTATTTTTTATAAAATATTATCAGTAAAACTTTATAAAAAAAAGTTATTTAATGAATTAAGTACATAAATTTAAAATTCTATTAAGTAGCATTAATTTTCTACTATTGAATAAGTTGCATTAATTTTTTACTCATTTTCAGTTTTTAAATGCTTAAGTTTCCTTTTTATTTTTTCAGAAAAAATTTATTGGTTCGTTCAGAAATATGAAATATAGAAGTAAAAGAATCCCTCTTTCCTTCTTGTGCTCCCAAATTATTATATGAACATGCATTTACAACCTGAAAATGCATGTGTGCAATATTATCATCATGCGGTGATTTGTAGGTACTTTATTTTTTACCACAATATTTTCGACGACTATGTTTTTGAACTCCTTTATTTTAGACCACGATGTTGTAGAAGTGCGATGCCTTCTCTTTGCTTTCTTTTCTTCCACGATGTTTTGTACCATGAAGTTTTCGCCTAGCGTTGTTTTCTCTATGATGTTTTCAGTGGATGCCTTTTAAATTATTGCCTAAATTTATATATCTTTTTATAGGTGACATTATGGAAAGCTGCAAATGATCATCAGTGGGTTCGGTTAAATGATGTAACTAGAGGACAAGAAGAAAGGAAAGGATAAATTTTTGATGTCAAGTGTATTTTTTGCTGCCAGAACATTTTTATATCATTATTTTATATAATTTAATGAAGTAGTACTAAAGAATCTATTTGGTTTTAAAGAAAGGAAACTGCAGAAACTGTTCATTTCATAAAATTACAAAAATTGAAACTCATCTTTCATTCAGCTTTTAATGTTATTGCTTATTTCAATGGAAGTATAACTTACAAATAATAGAAGAAAAAATATTGCAAGCTTGTAAGAAATTATTAAATGTAATATTTTATCCAAAAGACATATTAAAAAAAGTTCGTTTTGAATAATTTGATTCATGTACTTTTTCCTGTTGTGAAGTAAAATATGTTTAAAATATATGTATAATTGTTCATTTGAAAAATTAATTGTATGTATGGAAAGCCTGTGAAAATATTTTTCACAATAAAAATTAAAAATCAAAAGTGTATATTTATTTATGTATAAATATGTGTATGATCAAATTTTTGTATTTGCTTCTTATACTGTGAAAGATTTTTGAGAGTTCTTACTCACCTGGAAAGTCAGGGACATGAGAAATGGTTAGAGATAGTCAAGAGAATTGTAAATATTTTTTAGAAAACCAGAAAAAATTAGAACTTTTCATCAGTCCTAAAATAATGAATTTTTTTTATTATATTAGCCAACTGTTCTTAAAAAGAAAGAAAATATAGAGATATTTTATGTTTTAAGTTTTTCTTGATGAGATTATTTACTTATCTCGTATTTGATGGAGTTTTATCAGCCTATAACTATACTATTTACTTGTTATTTCTACCACTTTTTAACCTTTTTCTGAAAATATAATTGTTTTGTTGCCGTTATCTCTAGAAGTATAATTACATTTAGGAAGTTAATAATTTAGAAGTTACCACATAATGTTATTGTATTTATAATAAATATGTCATCCCCCGCAGTTCATTCCAATTCTTAGGCTGCGTGGTTTTATTTCAAATCACAAAAGAAATGATATATAAGAGTACGTTATTACAGATTTCTTTTGTAGAATGAAGAATTTTTTTCCTTATATTTGTTGTCTCCTTTTAAAAACCCTGTGTATTTTTTCAAATGGCTTACATGCATATTTCCAGCACATGTTTCTTTCATTTGTTTCATGATGAATAAGACAAAATAAATTTTGTTAATATTATTAATTATTTCAGTGTGCTTAGAAATGGATAAAATTGTTATTCACACTGAATTTGATAATTAATTCATGTTTGTTTAGTCATGGAAAATGAGGGGAAGCTAAGGAAATTAAAAGTTGAATTTCCATAGAAACCTTGTTTTTGTAGATGAAAATTGTGAAACCCCACAACTAGGATTAATTTTCAGCATAAAAAAAATTACGAGAACTACACAGTCTGTCTTTCTGGTTTAGGTATATAGAAATAAAGATTTATTTGTCAAATATGCACATTTTCTCTCAAGTATACATATATAACTAATATAAAAACTTATATTGCACATTCAAATCAAGGAACATATATAAGAGTTTTTAAAGTTAAATTCTCTACCATTAATTGTTACATGTACAAAATGTAACTTATTAATGTTACTGCATTTTCCAGTTTTAAGTGCATATTTTTTCAGTATTGTGCATAATATATAGCTTACTTGCATTTTTTTTAGTATGTGTTCATAACAAAGCTTTTGAGCTTTTTGTATTAATGCAGATGTTCGGAAAAAAGTACTGTGTGAATACAGAATAATTATGCTTCTTTTGCCAGGGAAAACAAAAGTCAATGTTTCTATAAATAGATAAAGTATATATAAATGTATATACTTTTTATAAAGTATGCATTCCAGTTTTGTGATTTAGCAACAGTATGCAATTACTACACTTAGTTCATGAATTCAGCAGTATCGTTATTCTCCAGACTGCCCGAACTCAAGTGCTTATTGCATAATGGTCTGTGAACTTACCAGTTATAAAATCAGAAAGAATAAAAATATTTGTATTTCAAGGCATTTCCAAAAGCACTAACTCCTCCTGGATGAGATTTTTTTTTTTTTTTTTTTTTTTTTTTTTTTTTTGACCTTTGATCAATGGGAAATTTTTCATAGTATCTGACAAAAGATCAGTGTGAAGTTTTTTTAAAAAATGACCCATTATTTAATAGTTTCTCTTGAAATTCGTACATGCATATAAACAAATGTTGATAAATCTTTCTGTGCTTATATAGAAATATAAAATTACTTTAAAATAGATTTTTCTTAAACTCGATAATGTCTACTGGTCTGTATTTATCAGTACATCAGGCTGTCTTCGTTTTTATATTATAAGACAGTTCCCAGCAAGTATTACTGTTTGTGAGAGACTATCCTTCATGTTCAAACAGTTGTACCAGCTTGCATTCAATTGTTCTGAATTTAGTCATTTCTGGAATTTTTTCTCTTTTCTGAAAATAATTAATTAGTTTCTTCATAAAAATTATACTTGCAGAATATTTTTTTCACTAGGAAAATATTCTGAGGAAGTATACCATTCATCCATCTTCAAATTCCAAGGACTTTGTAAAAAAAAAAAGCCTTCATTAGTGGAAATGAAGATCATGTTTTAATTCAACATTGTAGATTAAAGGCATAGAGCATCTGCAGTATTCATGTTGAAAAATCCAAGCACTACTTTATGGAAATCAGAAGTCCTTGAACAACAGCAAGTCTCTCTCTTTGACTGGGGTTGTTGGTTTAGTCTTTTTCTCCTGATAATTATCAAAATAGCGGGTATCTCCTGGATGGCTTACTTTTGGTACAAGAGGTGTCTAGAGGAAAAGAAAAAAGGGGAAAATAAATGTAATTATTAGGTATTTTTGTTTGATGATACAAAAATTATGCTAAGTTTTTATATTATCTGTAGAAAACTTGCATTTTTCAAATTGACAAATAGGAAATTTTTATAAAAATTGCTTAAATTTTTAACATCTGATGCTCATATGAAAATTATAGAAACATTCAGATTTTAAATCTATAGCTTAAACTGGGCTCACTCGAGTATCATTAAATCATGCCTAAGACACCTCGATTGATTGTGAAGACTCTAAGAATGTAGCAGAGAAGAAATGTATATAAGCCTTACATGCAGGAGAAGTTACAGTTGCAATCAAGTTCTTATCATTCACTGGCCCTAATTTTTAATATTAAATATTATTAACATGACACTGATCCTAATTTTAATATCAAACATCAATTATGTACTACACTGATTATCATAAATTAAGGAAAAATCACGATTACTGAAAAAGTTACATGTAGAATTTTATGAAACTTGCCCACAATATACAAAACATGGTAAGGTATCAAATAACATAAAAAGAAATTACCAGATAATTATGGTAGTATAGAAATTAGCACATGTATAAAATGAACAAATCGAAGATGTCAGTTTGCTATAGGAAAAGTACCTTGAATATGGAATATGGTCATCTCTAGAAGGAATACATCACATTCAGCGATGTGTGATGCTTTCAATTATGCAGTCTATCAGTTCCATAGGAAGTGAGAATCATTGCTTTTGTAAAGCAATTGCAAGTGCGGCAAGGGTCTAAGGGGGTGGATTGAGAGCAGCTAGACGTTAAAGCATCCCAAACGTGTTCGATAGGATTCAAGTCCGGGGATCGAGGTGGCAACTCCGTGCGCATAATTGTTTCCTGTTGAAGATAATCATCTATGATGCGAGCCCTATGTGGTCTTGAGTTATCGTCCTGTATTAGGAAAGCATCACCTATTGCCCCGGCACATGAGCGCACATAAGCATCAAGGATGTCATTTCTATAAACCGGAGCATTCATGGTTTCCGTTGGAAAGACACGGAGGTCTGTGCATCCACCCCAAACACAGACACTGCCTCTTCTGTATATATATATCTCTTTCACGGATATTTGATGGATGATAACAGGTTCCAAGTTCTCTCCATATCAAATAATGCCTACTATCGCATTCTAGACTAAACCTGGATTCATCCCTAAAGAGAACAGCCCTCCATTGCTCAGGCGTCCAGTGGACATGTTGTCGTGCCCACTGCAAGCGGTCCCTCCTATGGCGTGACTTGAGCGGCATGTAAATGGTTGTTCGCCTCGCATACAGACTTCCTTTGTGTAGCCTTCTACGCACAGTTGATGTTGACACCAATGTTCCGGTGGCTGCAGCAAGGGAGGATCTAAGAAGAGTCGGAGTAGCAGTTCTATTCCTGAGTGCACATAATGTCAAATATCAGTCATTGGAGTTTGTTGTAGCTGTTGGCTGTCCTTGGCTGAACCTCGTAGGTGCTGAATCTGTGATTGAAATTGCCTCCAAAGTCTACGAACCACAGAAGGACTCACATTTAGCCATCTGGCCACTTCTATTTGACTTTGTCCTGCCTCTAGTCTCCTAATGGCTTTCTATCACAGTTCTGCAGGCAAATGATGCCTGGAGATCATTCTTACGAATTGGCTATCTCAGATTTCTGATGTCACGTATCACAGTGAAATATGTGGGCTTGCTCTCAAACATGGACTTTTATGCTCCTCACAGATGACGTATTCTGAGTGCAGGGCCACTAATTTGCATATTGGAGTTTTACTCAGCTACTCTTATTTGGCAACATATTCAAATTTTACACGGTTTGGCTTATTTTTTTATCGAGTTATTGCTATTTTTGTGATTTTTCCTTAATTTATGATAAACAGTGTATATGATATTAGAAAAGTTCTTTTAAAATCACAGAAAATTAAAAATGCTTTTCTGTTATGTCCCTGCTGTAGGTTTTGGCTGGTTTCTTAGATGTAAACAATTTTGGTTCTTTTGTATTAAACGTACCCCATCAGCAAATATAGTAATATTTTAGTTTTCGGTAAAAAATGTCTAGCGATTTGTCTTGAACATTTGATGACGTTGAACATATAATTTGCAGCTTGTCTTTTCCTCCAGAGAAAACTTCTACTTAAGACTCGAGGTGGTGGTAGGCTGTTTGACGGTGCCTTTTATTTCGCCATTATGCGTTCTATATTTTGTGTGTGTTTCCCAGTTTTAGGATCAACAAAATTTTATTTGTGATATATTTTACAATGGATATACCCAGATTGTTCAAGTTCTGTTTTGTAGCCCTCCCAACAGTCAGAAAAAATATCATTCCTTCTTTAATGTTCTTTTTAATTTCGTTCATTAGTGTAGTGGCATTACAATCAGGGACCATTACAACAAATGCCTAAAAAAATTGACAGATGCCTCGATTCATTGTCGAGGCAACATTCTTTCAGCAATATTTTTGGTGTTGCATGAACATACTTTTGTCGATCTTCACAATGCATCTGCCACTTCTTCAGTATGTACGGATGTTACACTTTTAAAGAATGCCATCTTCGTTGATGTATAGCTTCACCAAGTGCAAAAGTCCACATTCTCAATTTTCCAGTAGTATACCATAATTCTGCAAATAGCCAACTGCCTCCGTTTAATTTCGAGGTAAGTGAGGCTTCCATGTTTTTTGTACATTTCTTGCGTGCTCATTTCACGTTCCATTTTCATTCCCAATTGTTATGAAAATTGTTACTTTTGTCCTGTTCTATCAATTGTTACAGTTGTTTTACTTTCTAATATGTCTATATAAGATAAAAATGTGTAAATCAAATTTCTAACTTTATTTTTTCAGTAGTTCCTTAACTCTCCATTTGAATTTGGTTATTTCTTCTTTCATCCTCAAACACTACCTACTTGTTATAAAACTTTCTAAATTGCATCATTTCAAAATTAATCCATGTATTATGAATTTTGCATAATATAAGCTCATGATGCAGATCCTTTCATAATATTTAAGCCACTAATGTTTTCAAATTTGATAGCTGAATCTTATTACAGTACAAAGTTCTTAATCCGGACTCGTCGGGACTTCGGCGATTCCGGATTAGGGTTTTTTCTGGATTATACATCATGAATTTAAATCTAGTAAGATGGCATGCAGAAATTATACAGTTAAAAATATGAAACCGTAATTTATGAAATAAAGAGCAATTATGATCTGAAAGGTATCAAAATTTACAAAAAAAAAAAAAAAAAAAAGCTTAATATTTATTTGTTTACTTTAGTAAACATTTCTGTCACTGTAAGCTGTTTAAGTTGCTTCGTTTTTTGTGCTAATGCTTTCTCTTTAATTCTAAAAACAGACATAATTTTTTTGTTCAGTTACAAGGTTTCATTGTTCAAGTTCTGTAATTGCTGTGTCAAGAATACCGACTAACTTGTTAATCGAAATTTTTTCGTTTTCAATAATGTTCTCTGTTACTTTCTTCACTATCGGAAGCGCGCATGGGTAAATGCTTTACTCGCATTACGCACATGCATAGCGGATGCACACATCAAACGTGCATGCATAAGTTTATGGCTTTGAGGTCCGGATTATGGACTTTGTACTGTATTAACCAGTAGGGATTAACCTGAACTGAAATCAATTCAGTTGGTACCAAAACTTTGATCTTAGAGTCGCCGTATTTGCTCTCCCCTTTCCTGTCTAGCCAGACTCTTGTTGCTGCTTTTTTTTACCGCAATATCTTAAAAATGTGAATTTCTTCAAGAACAGGTGTGTTTTTTACATCAATATATCTTGTTGGTTTAAAAATGTCTGTCAAGGAGAATAAAGAAATATCAAGATTGAGCAGGACTGAACCATGTTTTGACGCATCTGCATGTCTTCATCATCTAAATTATGTCATATATGTGCACTCGTTCCTTGTTAAACGGACAGTTTTGCAGAGTCTCAGCAACCGATGAAATAGGGAAACAGCAATTATAAAAATCTGATAAATAATCCTCTTGAAAGTGTCATACCTTCTTAAACCTTCAGTTTTTCGGCACAACATAAGATTCCATCCCCTCCAGTATAGAGTTCAAGATTATTTCTATCTCGGGGGGGGGGAGTTGCTTATAGGTCATTGTCACTCCCCCTGCCTTCTCTGTGTCATTCATAAAATAACTGGACATCTGTAGCTGCTTGGAGCATTTCTGGGAAAGTGGACAGATGAGCAGCTGTTGGCACAGATGTTTTTTTCATTGCTTTTTTTTTTAGTTTGAAAACAAAAATTTGAGCACTCGTACGTGTAGTAAAAAGTCAAGAAATTTAAAATTTTTGCAAAAACACAAAATTATTGAGGAATTTAAAAAATTAAATCAGTTGAAAGCTGCCTTTGCAAAAGCTCGCAAAATTCCTCAATCATCGTTAGATGACATTTACTTAAAAGACATAGTAGATCCTGATTATAAAAAAGAAAAAAAGGCAGTGTTTGTCTACTGACAAAAAAATTGAGAAAGCTTTAATCACCGAGATAAAATATGGCAAGATACAAAATGTGCCGATTTCTACTTTAATTTTGAATGGAAGATCTCTTCAAAACTGCTCCCGAACTCGGTGAAGAAAACTTTGAAGCTAGTAATGGACGGTTACAAAAGCTGAAAATAAGGTATACTTTCGTTCAAAAAAATCAAGGGAGAAGCATCTGTTGTTGATCCGCAGGTTGTTATAGAGTAGGTAAACACAGTAATAAAGAAAGCACGCGAACATTGTGGTCTCCACATTTTCTTCTAGACTAGGTAAACTTGGTACTGAATTCCAAAAAGGAAAAATGCATTGGGAGAGGGGAATAGTAAGAATGGACTAACTGTTTTGCTGGGATTCAGCACGGGTGGTAGTGAGAAGCTGAAACCTGGTGTCATAGGAAAATCCCCAAACCCCTGGTGTTTTAAGGGCACAAAAGTTTGTATGACTTAAAAGATGTGAGGATATATGACTTAA